AGAGTAAGAGGAAATCAATGAAAGGTATATGTAAAGGTGTTGTTGCTTTGAATGTTAAATAATAGTCTAAGAATGTGGAGATGGATATGCAATGTGACTGCTGAACTTCATTTTATAGTGAGGACAATTGTCATGCTGAGTATTATTTTTCTCAGCTACATTCACAGAGGCAGAAGGTAGAATTTGGATTAATCTGTGGTATGATTTAGGTAAGACAGTATAGTAAAATCAGAGACAAGTAGGGGATTTATGTATATGTATAAAAAGTGAATTAGTGATTTCCTTGAAATTTAAGGTGGAAAAGAGGGGTGTACAGGCATTTGAATTTAAAGACATTGAAGAACTGACAGGGCCCTAGGTTCTGATGAAATCAAATAATGTTTTGCTTCAGATATAAAAGGGGGCTATTAAGTAGATAAGAAATGGTATAGGAGAGTAGGAAGGATGAAATTATGGAGTGGGGAAATTACTTTCATGACAAAATACAGTCATATGTCCTTTCACATTTATGATGTAATTACAAGCAGCAACCACAACATCTACATCTTTTCTTTTCATTGTGTGACCTTTCTAGTCTTCTAGCACAGTCATTCTAAATGTGAGATGATTTTTCAACACCCTGCCTCAGGAGACTTTGGGAAATTTCTTGAAACATTTTTGATTCTAAAAGTTGTGCAATTGGTGCTACTACCATCTTCGTGGTAGAGGCCAGGGATGCTGCCAAACATCCTACAACACATTAGAAAAACCCCCACAAAAAAGAATTCTTCTGCCCAAAATATCAATAATATGAAGGTTGAAAAATACTGGTCTAGCATGTAGTATATGCTCAATAGCAAGGAGAGATAAGAAAGACTTCCTCCATGATCAATGCAAAGAAATAGAGGAAAGCAATAGAATGGGAAAGACTAGAAATCTCTTCAAGGAAATTAGAGATACCAAGGGAACATTTCTTGCAAAGATGGGCACAATAAAGGACAGAAATTGTATGGACCTAGGAGAAGCAGAAGATATTAAGAAGAGGTGGTAAGAATACTCAGAAGAACTATACAAAAAAATCTTAATGACCCAGATAACCATGATGATGTGATCACTCACCTTTAGCCAGACATCCTGGAATGCAAAGTCAACTGGGCCTTAGAAAGCATCACTACTAACAAAGCTAGTGGAGGTGATGGAATTCCAGTTGAGCTATTTCAAATCCTGAAAGATGATGCTGTGAAAGTGCTGCACTCAATATGATTGCCAGGAGAAATATCAATAACCTCAGAAATGCAGATGATACCACCCTTATGGCAGAAAGTGAAGAAGAACTAAAGAGCCTCTTCATGAAAGTGAATGAGGAGAGTGAAAAAGTTGGTTTAAAGCTCAACATTCAGAAAACTAAGATCATGGCTTCCATTCCCATCACTTCATGGAAAATAGATGAGGGAACAGTGGAAACAGTGACAGATTTTATTTTCTTGGGCTCCAAAATCACTGCAGATGGTGACTGCAGCCATGAAATTAAAAGACACTTGCTCCTTGAAAGAAAAGCTATGACCAACATAGACAGCATGTTAAAAAGCAGAGACATTACTTTGCCAACAAAGGCAAAGACATTACTTTGCCTCTAGTCAAAGCTATGGTTTGCCCAGTGGTCATGTATGGATGTGAGACTATAAAGAAAGCTGAGCACCTAAGAACTGATACTTTTGAACTGTGGTGTTGGAGAAGACTCTTGAGTCTCTTGGACTGCAAAGAGATCCAACCAGTCAATCCTAGAAAAAATCATTCTTGAATATTCATTGGAAGGTCTGATGTTGAAGCTGAAACTCCTATACTTTGGCCACCTAATGTGAAGATCTGACTCATTGGAAAAGACCCCGATGCTGGGAAAGATTGATGGTGGGAGGAGAAGGGGATGACAAGAGGATGAGATGGTTGGATGACATCACGGACTCAATCGACATGAGTTTGAGTAAGCTCCAGGGGTTGGTGGTGGACAGGGAAGCCTGGCGTACCTCAGTCCATGAGGTCACAAAGATTTGGACATGATTGAGGGATTGAACTGATACTGATGTGCTCAATAAATGTATCTTGAACTTGAGTGAAGTTCTATGGTCATATGTAAAGGAATAGTAATCAGAATTAGCTGTGTGTCCTATGAATCAGGGCTCTGGGTTTTATGCATTCATAGTATCTGCTGACTCACAGAACATTTTTCTTATTCTCTGGTTCTTAATTAACTTTATAAACTAATCTTCACATAGATAGGATATAGTTATACTTCACATAAATAGGAAATTATTATATTGGATAATCTCCTGGAAAGGATTAAATACTCCATCTACATGAGTAATGCTGAACTATCTGCTCCTACCTAATAATTTGTCAGAATTTACTAATTCTATGTTATATTGTTTCTAAATCTGAATCATTATATGAATCCTCAGTATTTTATTTTCCTCCCATCTATATTTTGGAATTTATTAAACAGTACTTCAAATAATTTTTAGGAAACTGAAGTTTTTAGTAACAGCTCTATCTCTAAATGGCTTTAGTATCTTGAAAAAGTAATACAAATTCTCAGATTCTCAATTTCCTCTTCTCTAAAATATACTTAAAATATTCTATGGATGATATCTCTTAATATTTATTATTTTGTCCATCCAACACAGCTTGTGGGATCTTAGTTCCCCAATGATAGATTATGCCCACTGCAGTGAAAGTACAAAATCCTAAACTGGACTCAACCAGGGATTTCCCAATATCTCCTCTAGTTCTTATTTCTGAATATTTTTTGGTCCCTTTATTATACTCTTCATCCAACTTTTCTATTGCTTTCTCTCTTTCTTTCTTTTTTTTCCCTTGTTTTCTTCCTGAGGATATTATTTACATGGTTTCAGCTAGAATATATCCAAATCTCAGGACAGCACATTTCATATTCATCAGCCAACATGGGAAAAAACTTTGGCTGAACAAATTATGCTTATAAAAATTAGTACTAGAACATCTTGCTTTGACTATATCTTGCTCCTCACCCTGGGTTATCTAATAAAATTTTCCTGAATGAAATTCTTTTGCCTTATAAAAATGGCAACTCTTAGGTAACATTGCAAAAATTTGAGCTGCCCACATGGCACTTTGCTTCTTACTGGTCATTGTGTTCTGAGGCTTACCTGGACAGTGGTACCTGATGTCATCTTAAATTGTTGGCTTTTCAATTTTCCCTTGGACAAGTTTCTTTCTTTAGTATATTGTTAAGCATTTCCTTGATCAAGATTTTACCTACTTTTCTGGTCCAATTGAATCTGTAATTCTATCAATTAATATAATTTAAAATTGGCAAGAGACAGTCATAAGGAAATGCTGTGTTTATTGCACAATATGTAAAGCATCTTCCTGAGAAAATAAAAGGAAAATGTTGAATGAGAAGGACATGCTTTCTTTTGTGTTCCTTTTCTCAGAAATCACATTTTTTTGTCTTGGCAACCAAAAGGTAACACATAAAGGAATATGAAGTAGCCAAGGCCTTTTCTAGTTATATCTATGACACCGAGTTCATCTCATCATTTATTTTCCTGACTTCCTCGTGGGACCATATGAGCAGTCTCAGAATGAATATTAGCTGAATAATCCAAATACATAGTAGATGTTAATTTGGGTTTTCTAAGCAATACAAAACTTGTGTGACAGTGAGATGTATTCCCATCCAACATACATCTTAGCATGATATAAATGCAAGGTATATCGTGAAGAAAAATTATTAATTATGTCAAAGTACTTACTTTAGAAGGGCATCTATCTGTCCCAAAGCCATGAATAAATATATTGAAGGCAATGAATAGAAGAAACAAACCTTGTAAAAATGAATAGTGTGAAATACAACTACATTTGTGAATATCTATCACTAAAGAGGCAAAGAAAGTTGAAGACTGCTTTTGTAAATGGGCTCCTATTAATAAAAAGTACTTTTGAGGTCTGGCTCAGACTCTATTGTAGTACGTAGGGTAAGACCCTCCTCCTGTCTGGGCTTTCATTTTTTTTCTTCCTTCCCTCATTTACCCTTCCATGAATACTAGCTGATAAACATTGAGACACTATAAAGATATGAGGCCAAACTTGAGCTGTCCCATTTTAATAAATCTGTACAGATATTATTTGTTCTACAGAAGTATTCTCTAAATAAATGTTACTTTCTGTCTTAGAGCCCCTCAACAAATCCCCACTATCTAGAGAATAAGATTGACATTACTTAGAGTCACAGCATGCTTTGTCTGCCATTATCTGACCCCATTCTCTTTCTCTCTTCTCACCTCCATCCCTTTTCCTTGCAATCCATGACCCAGATTCACTGTTTGATTTAGCTTGCATGTGTGTGCGCTGAGTTGTGTCTGACTCTTTTCAACGCCATGAATGGTAATCCACCAGGCTCCACTGTCCATGAAATTTTCCAGTCAAGAATACTGGAGTGGATTGCCTTTCCTACTCCATTTGTTTAATTTACTGACTTCCCCCCCCCNCCCACATATTCAGGAGCCTATTCTTCCTTTCCTTTTAGCCTATACTCTCTTCGTTCTTCAGGTCTAAGCTATCATCATGTGCTTGTTAGCTTGCCACTTTCTCCATTATAGCATAAACACTGCTTGTCACTTTCTCCATTATAGCATAAACACTAACAACTATTCAGGTTAGCATGAAACTGTGTTCTTGTGTGGTCTGTGTATTGCTGGTGTGTATTAGAATTTACCTCAAGGTGTCAAAAACCCACCAAATGCTAAAGAAACCTTACTGTGGTTACAATCATTTGGGGACTGGGCCAAAACTTCCGTGTGTCCCAGCCAAGGTCTGTAGCTACTGGACAATTTCATTTCCTTTATCATATTGTGAATTATTCCCTTTAAAATGCTCCCCAGAACTTCTGGGGACAGGAAAATAGGAAGGATTCATTTTCTAATCATGCAGATTTCTAGGAATTTAAATTCACTATTGGTTTTATTTCAAACCACAAAATTAGCATGCCATTAAATACTATATATAAGCAGCCACAAAATCAGATCATTATCCATTCAGGTTCTCCTTCACTTCTTGTCCTCTACGTTGGAAAAGAGGTAAGAATCTCAGATATAATTTCAGTGTATCTGCTACTCATCTTTGTTTCAGACTAGGTTAAAATGTAGAAAGAATATAATTGCTTAAAATAGATCTTAAAAATAAGGGTGTTTAAGATAAGGTTTACACTATTTTCAGCAAATATGTTAAAAAATAGAAGTGACTATAAAGATTTGACAAAAATTATAGTGACTGCACATGTTTTAGGAATCTAATAAGATGTAGTAACAGTGGCTTCTATTTTCTTTAGCACAAGACAAATTAACAGGCTGTATTAGAAGATCTTTTCTTGAATTAAATATTTTCAATTTGATTAAACCTACCTCAGCCATAAAGGCAAGCACATTTAATTTATACTATGGGGATTTGAATAAGTTTTACTGAGAAAGCTCTACCAAAGAAAAGGTTATAGAGGTAGCATATTTAGTCAAGAGATAAAGACGGTTGTTAGGATACATGTGCTATTTGAAATGTTTATAAATGGCATTTGTAAAAGAAGAGTATATTTATCAAAATTGCTTAGAACATCCAAATTTCCAGTTTATCATTTAGCTTAAAATATTTCAAAAATATTAAAATAGATACATGAAGTACATAAGTAAATTAAAGAGAAAGTATTTTACTTTGTAAAAAAAAAAAAAAAAAAAAAACCTAGGTTGGACAGGGAGTACCAGGAAACGAAAACAATGAAAAATGTGGCCTGACAGAAATTGTAGCTCAAAGTATAGTAGTCAGTAATGAAATGCCTTAAAAATTGGTATATAAAATGCTAATTATAAAATAAACAAAATTTAATAATATCCTCCCTACATGTAATGAACTCTGAATATTATACTCTTTTTTGGTCTTGACAATAAAAATGTATTTAGAAGTTTATAAACATCTTGGATAAAGTGAAAAAATTAAGAATTAGCATCCATGAGAAAAATACAGGAAAAATTTCTTAATTTAGTTTGAAAATCTGGGATTGAAGATGTGTGTCAAGGGATGTTGGTGGCATGAACTTTTTTTTCAAGAACTTATGAAAATGCAACAAAACAAACCATTTAATACATTTTGGTCAAAAATAATAAGGTATTTTATTTTATACTCCAAGGAAAAGTAGTCTAAAGTGGGGACTGGGCAAGAGAAACTGACACCCTGGTAAATCACCAAGAGATAAGTACACAGTTCTATGTAGAGAAAATAAGCATAGTGTATGGTCTCTAAAATTATGTGGGACAAAGGAGAGATGACATTAGGCATGTGGGGATGAAGACTGAGTAGAGACGAAACAATCCAATCAGTCCAAGAAAACATCTGGATCAGTGGAACAAATAGAAGAAATGCTAAAATGAAACAGAAGTCTTACTGGAAATAAAAGATATGAATAAGACAAACATTCATGAAAATCACTTAGTTTAGTAGAGAAAAGATAAAAATAAAGTATGACCTTCTTCATATACATTTTATTTGATCAGATGCCTCTCAATAAAACTGAGTTTCTAACAGAACTGAAATCTTAATATTTTGTTTACTGCTCTAATCCCAGAATCTAAGCAATATCTGGCAATAAAAATTACTAAATACATATTTTTTAATAAGTGAATCAACCACTTAATTTTTCTGTAAATATTTATAACTTCTTTTCTGTCTTTCCAAAAAACACTCTTAAGTACTGTGAATGTGATGAAAAAGAGTGAAGTAGGACATAGGCTGTTAGCTGAAAACATCTGAATGGCTGGCAGTGAAACATTAACTTGAAATGTAAGATTAAGGAGTCATAGTAAATTTTAACCTTGGTCATATGATAAAATGTCTATTAATATTTTTCTAAAATACAGGGCTTTTTGTTTTTGCCACGAGGTTTGCAGGATCTTGGTTCCCTGACCAGAGATCAAACCTGCGCTCCCCTGGAAGCATGGAGTCTTGGACATTTTTATTATATACACTATCTTTGGTTCCTTTTAAAGGAAAGTAATTCTACAAACATAAGAAAATATATTAGATTGACGAGTAATACACTGTTTCCTTATCTTTCCATTCACAGGAATTGAGAGCCATGAAGGTCCTCATCCTTGCCTGCCTGGTGGCTCTGGCCCTTGCAAAAGAGGTAAATACAGAAAAAAATGTTGAAATAAATAAGACTAGTACTGTCCACCTATGTGTAGAAAATCGCATTACCAACATTGTAAACGTAAAAATAATGCACAATCTCAGATTTTATTTTATTTTTTTAATGCTAAGAAAGTCATTTATGTTCATCCACTATCTCAACAGTATTCTGTAGGACCACAACTCTGGGTAAAGTGCCTTCTATAGCATTGTACCGTCTATAACATCAATCCCAAAGGAGAAGAAAATAAAAACCAATAAGCAACAGACCAACAAGAAGGAACACACACAAGAACAAAAAATGAGCAATATTGCACAAATACAATTGCATGCATATACAATCTAGATAAATATATCTTATTACAGTGATGAAATATTTGCATCTCTTACTGTAGGGTGCTAGGTTTACCTGTATCTACCTGTGCTAGGTAAACCTGTATCTAGGTTTACCTTTATCTATTCAACACAGGATGATACTCCAGAGGATGACATATCAGACAACAATAATAAATATGTTCATAATTATAATAAAAATAGTTCAGTAAAAATTAAAATAACTCTTTTTTCTGTTACCCATAAAAACTTTTCATTAAGGTAAAACAAAAATATACCAATGAAAGTTACTAAATTTAAAAGACTCTCAAAAGATGTATAATATTTTTATTTTTCAGATTTGTGAAATAGATAGCTCTGAATAAAGCAGGTAAAAATTAGGTAGGAAAAATATTTAATAATGAGTTGACTGTGGGAACTAAAGTTTTATTTTTTATTTTTTCTCTTTTGAAGGAAGAACTCAATGTATCCAGTGAGGTAAGATATTTTTATACAAAGAAAAAAATTAATTTAACTGTAAAATAGTAACAGTCTGATAATCTAGCTGAAGACTCAGCTAATTGTCAATTTTTATTTTTCCTTTACAGATTGTGGAAAGCATTTCAAGCAGTGAGGTAAGATAGCGTTCATTTAGAGGCAATTTTCCAAAGTTAGAACAATAAAACACTGTATTATCTTTTTGTGTTACATTAATGGCACCCCACTCCAGTACTCTTGCCTGGAAAACCCCATGGATGGAGAAGCCTGGTAGGCTGCAGTCCATGGGGTCGCTAAGAGTGGGACACGATGGAGCGACTTCACTTTCACTTTTCACTTTCACGCATTGGAGAAGGAAATGGCAACCCACTCCAGTACTCTTGCCTGGAGAATCCCAGGGATGGGGGAGCCTGGTGGGCTGCCGTCTATGGGGTCGCACAGAGTCGGACACGACTGAAGCGACTCAGCAGCAGCAGCAGGGCAGTTAAGGCTTCCCTAATAGCTCATTTGGTAAAGAATCTAGCGCAATGCAGGAGACCCTGGTTTGACTCCTGGGTCAGGAACATCTGCAGAAGGGATAGGCTACCCACTCCAGTGTTCTTCAAGCCAATGTGGCTACGTACTGACCGGTAACTGTCAGTCAGTCAGTGGTCAATTTCCACTGTATATATTTTAAAGGAGTAAATGTCTAGAAGGTTTAATATTCTAGTAATTTCTAAATGGGTTTGCTATCTGAAATTGTGTCACTGTGCCCTGCTTTTCTTCCTTAATGAACTGAACAGTCCTCTTTTCTGTCTTGAACTCTCTATGGTAACCTCCTTACACGCTTTGGGATTTATTGAGCACTTTCTGTTTCAGACTTTGACTAGGAACTGCAGTATGAACTGGAAAGAGGGATGCCGTTTGAAAAGTGTGGGCAGACATGCAAATGGACATATTTTATTATTATACCAGCAATCTAGTAAATAGGAGGCAGTGAGAATGAATGTAGTCCCAAATATGCCTGCTAGAGTGAGGTAGATAATAACCCTACACCATTCTTTTTGGGTCTGTCATCAGCTGTTGGTTAAATAGTGCATCAATATACTTTGTCTCTTCACAACGGTCATAAGATCCTTATAGGAGCGTATGTATTTCTTATAATTTATTAGAAGCCTAAACATAACCGGGGAACTAAGAATGATTAACAAGTGCATTAGTGATTATTATTATATATTTTCAATGACTATGATTCTTTTAGAACCAGATGAAAATATGAGACATCATTTGTTGTCCTAAGGAGAGAACAGGGTGATTGAGAGACATGTATACATGCAAAGTTGCTTCAGCCCTGTCCAACTCTGTATGATCCTATGGACTGTAACCTGTCAGGTTCCTCTGTCTATGGGATTCTCCAGGCAAGAATACTGGAGTGGGTTGTCATCTCCTCCTGCAGGGGACTTCCTGGCCTAGGAATTGAACCTGCATCTCTTATGTCTCCTGCATTGGCAGGCTGGTTCTTTTTTTTTTTTTTCCCATTTATTTTTATTAGTTGGAGGCTAATTACTTTACATCATTGCAGTGGTTTTTGTCATACATTGAAATGAATTAGCCATGGATTTACATGTATTCCCCATCCCAATCCCCCCTCCCACCTCCCTCTCCACCTGATCCCTCTGGGTCTTCCCAGTGCACCAGGCCCGAGCACTTGTCTCATGCACCCAACCTGGGCTGGTGATCTGTTTCACCCTAGATAATATACATGTTTTGATGCTGTTCTCTTGAAACATCCCACCCTCGCCTTCTCCCAGAGTCCACAAGTCTGTTCTATACATCTGAGTCTCTTTTTCTGTTTTGCATATAGGGTTATCGTTACCATCTTTCTAAATTCCATATATATGTGTTAGTATACTGTAATGGTCTTTATCTTTCTGGCTTACTTCACTCTGTATAATGGGCTCCAGTTTCATCCATCTCATTAGAACTGATTCAAATGAATTCTTTTTAATGGCTGAGTAATGTTCCATGGTGTATATGTCCCACAGCTTCCTCATCCATTCGTCTGCTGATGAGCATCTAGGTTGCTTCCATGTCCTGGCTATTATAAACAGTGCTGCAATGAACATTGGGGTGCATGTATCTCTTTCAGATCTGGTTTCCTCGGTGTGTATGCCCAGAAGTGGGATTGCTGGGTCATATGGCAGTTCTATTTCCAGCTTTTTAAGAAATCTCCACACTGTTTTCCATAGTGGCTGTACTAATTTGCATTCCCACCAACAGTGTAATAGGGTTCCCTTTTCTCCACACCCTCTCCAGCATTTATTGCTTGTAGGCTTTTGGATAGCAGCCATCCTGACTGGTGTGTCATGGTACCTCATTGTGGTTTTGATTTGCATTTCTCTGATAATGAGTGATGTTGAGCATCTTTTCATGTGTTTGTCAGCCATCTGTATGTCTTCCTTGGAGAAATGTCTGTTTAGTTCTTTACCACTAGCGCCACCTGGGAAGCCCAATTAGCATCTATTAAATGTCTCTTTTGGTACTATGCTCTCTAATCTTCTTTTTCTTGACTGCATCATCTTTCTTTTTATACAACAGCTTTATTCAGAATAGTGGATCTTAAACTTTCAGCCATAAAATAATGATATTATCAAACAAGTTGTCCATATTAGCCTATTAAATGTCTTCATTTTCTCATTTATGTTGACAAATAAGAATTTTTCTTTAAAGCTAAACCTGATTTTATTTTTATTTTTCTAAAGGAATCTATTACACACATCACTAAGGTAAAACCTTCATATTTAAATGTACATTTTAAAAAATTTCCTGTTTGATTTTTATAAACAGCATTTCTTTATGTGTGATTTTTTTTAGCAGAAAATTGAGAAGTTGCAAAGTGAGGGACAGCAGCAAGCAGAGGTAATTTGTTCATTATGAGTATATTTTGAAAAGTATTATGAAACATAACACATAAAAAGACTTATAATAATTATGTTCAGTCTAAAGAATGGTAATATAAATGTCAGTGTAAGAAATGAAAACTTTGACAAAGTGAAAATATTTTAAAGATATAAACACATAATCAAATTTCAGAGTATAGAATAAATACCTAAGAATAACTATTGATATATTCATTTTACTAATGGTATACCTGGTTTTAATAACTGCACATTAGTAGGAACATTTCTGGACTAGGGACTATGATCCCCTGATTCTAATGATGGATATGCTGATGGAAGACAGTAGGGTGACAGTGTAGCACTAATCCTCATTTGATGACTCAGCTGTATCACCTTGACTCCACGTTTCTCTGTACATCAATGTCTTCATCTGCAAATTGAGAATATTCATAATTAACCAGAGTTGATGAACTGGCACACAGTGAATATTCAATGGTTTTATATTACATTCAATAGCTTTTATACTCACATTTATGAATGTGTGCAGTTCTAAAAAGTATTTCCATTACCTAGATGATAGAAGTGAGGTACAGAACAACTGAGTAAGCAAATGTGTGACCATACCACATAGTTATTAAATAGCAGAGCTTGCTTAAAAATAAGGATTTGGGGACAACATAAAATTCTTTCATTAAATTACTCTTGTGGTAACATATTTATCTAATTGTGATATTTAAGCTCTCCTTTTTAGAATTGAAGTTTGATTGTTTGGCACTTAGGCCAAATATTTTCTAAATCAAAATGAATTTACAAATTAATGCCTTTAAAGACTCAAGATTACCACCTTCTACCAAGAGAAGTAGTGCTAAAAGTTGGCCATTGTTAAGGAACTCCTTGAATTAAAAAAACACATATTAAGACTTAGTTTTCATTAAAACAAACAAAACTAAACCTCAGAGTAACTTTTTAAGTCTTTAAAATAGATCTTCCTTCGTTATATGAAATCAGTTTGGACTATTATCCAAAGTATTTAGCTACCACTCTGCAGGCAACTCAGGAAGAGGCAGAATAAGTGTTGAAACCTCCAAACACTGATTTCACTTGACTCTCTGATTTCACCTGTGAAGGAAGTGGCTTAATGAGAGATCCTTCAGTGAGCATTTTACTCACTAGTCTTCATATGACCCCAAACAATTTCTTAACCAAAAAAAATTGGAGGTTTTTTTTTTTTTCCTTTCCTTGGTTTTTTTTTTAAAAGGGGGGGGTTATTTCTTCTTGATTACCATTTTTACTTGGTTTTTGGCTTCCCGTTTTTTTTTCCTTCCGTCTAGGATGAACTCCAGGATAAAATCCACCCCTTTGCCCAGACACAGTCTCTAGTCTATCCCTTCACTGGGCCCATCCCTTACAGCCTCCCACAAAACTTCCTGCCTCTTCCTCAAACTCCTGTGATGGTGCCGCCTTTCCTTCAGCCTGAAATAATGGGAGTCTCGGAAGTGAAGGAGACTATGGTTCCTAAGCACAAAGAAATGCCCTTCCCTAAGTATCCAGTTGAGCCCTTTGCTGAAGGCCAGAGCCTGACTCTCACTGAGGCTGAAAACCTGCACTTCCCTCTGCCTCTGCCCCAGTCTTGGATGCACCAGACTCCCCAGCCTCTTCCTCCAGCCGTTATGTTTCCTCCTCAGTCTGTGCTGTCCCTTTCTCAGCCCAAAGTTCTGTCTGTTCCCCAGAAAGCAGTGCCCTATCCCCAGAGAGATATGCCCATCCAGGCCTTTCTGCTGTACCAGGAGCCTGTACCTGGTCCTGTCCGGGGACCCTTCCCTTTTATTGTAAGTCTAAATTTACTAACTGTGCTGTTTAACTTCTGATATTGTATATTAGAGTAATTAAGAGCCCTACAAAAAATGAATAATGAATGGTTCCAAAATAAGCATAGCTGAGGTTAATGATTCTCAGCATTAGCTATAAATAGAATAAGCTGGAGAACCTTCACCTCCCTCCACCGCCAGATCTCAATGTTTAGGCTTACCCATGGAGATTCTGATGTAATTGTTCTTTCTATGTAGAAGAAACTGAGTATTGGGAAGAAATAATATCATGAACTATGATTTAATTGGTCTGTTGAGAACTTAGATGAAGGGGATTAAGGAACAATAAAGCCAGAATTGAATTTGATAATCGCATTTGGCTAAGAATAACAAACCTAAGAAGGTTCGCTATTTTCTGCAATTTTTGTTTCCTTATGCAACCACATGACTCATTTCACATCTTGTTTTTGATATATGAGCATGTGAGGGCAAAATACTAAGATGCTGATTTCAATACTTGGGGAAAATTTTCTTGCCAAAAGGCAAGAATTGTATAATTCATTCACTTATTATTATTACTTTTTTTAATTTTTAAGGTCTAAGAGGATTTCAAAGTGAATGTCCCCTCCTCACTTTTGGTAAGCTTTAGGAGTTTGGAGACAGACTGATCATTTTTATAGTTAATATCTTTTACATTTCATTTTCCTGGATAAGCCCCAATAGTAGCAATTTCCATCAGGATATCAGCTTAAAGATTAATTATGAATTTATTCTCAGTGATTGACTATTATTTACTGACCTGAAATTATGTATCTGTTATATTTCAAATAATGCAAAACTCTATGTATATGGTGTTGACAGATTTGATTTTCTTTCAATTGCCTATATCCTTATTATTGATTGTCATCATTTATAGAAAAAACTGAAAATAATTTTGTCTACTTTTATGTAAACCTTTTAGAGCTTATTTTAAAGATCAACTGAATTTGCATTTCTAATCAAGTCATTATGAACTTCAATTATTTTATCTCACTTAAAATTTACATATTGTCTTTTAATTCATGAGTCAAAATACAATCTCACAGTCCAGATATGGGACTTAAAGGAGGAATAGAATATAGCTTTGATATTCTTAAGATATACATCCTTTTGTGAACATGATTCAGCAGACATTTTAATAAAATGATTCCAAGTGAGTTGATATTTGGCCCTAGAGGAATTTTTATAACCTTTAAGATAGGGCACAGCATGGTGTTTTTGTAATATTTCTTTTATGAAAAAGTCACACCAAAATTGCAAATGGGGTGAGATGAAGAGTTATAACATGTAACTAAATCTATATTTGTTCTCTGTTCCACAGAATTGACTGCAACTGGAAATATGGCAACTTTTCAATCCTTGCATCGTGCTACTAAGATAATTTTTAAATGAGTCTACATGGAACAAAAAATGAAACTTTATTCCTTTATTTATTTTATGCTTTTTCATCTTAATTTGAATTTGAGTCATAAATGATATATTTTCAAAATTTTAATTCAACATTAGCATAAAAGTTCAATTTTAACTTGGAAATATCATGAACATATCAAAATATGCATAAAAATAATTTCTGGAATTGTGCTTATTATTATTTCTTTACGAATCTATTTCCTACCCAGTCATTTCAATAAATTAATCCTTAGGCATATTTAAGTTTTCCTGTCTTTATTATATTTTTTAAAATGAAATTGGTCTCTTAAATTTATCTTTGATGTTAAAAATAGCTGTGGAAAATTAAAATTGCATAGAATTCTTTGAATTGAATACCAAAGAATATCAAGAAGTAGAGGGAAAAGATAGGGTGAGCCTATGCTGCATATGTCCTTAGAAAGTCTTGGTTTATATCTGTTACCTAAGTTAAACAATTACACTTGTTCCTTTCACTCTCGAAAGTACCCAGCATTGGATGTTAAATTTTATGGTCATCCTAGATAAAACAGAAACAAAAACAAACAAACAAAAAAAAATACCTCAAATGTGATATCTGAATCACAGCTCTACAGTGTGGTAGCTAAGTGGGGCTGTGTAAGTTAGTCTCAAAGACATTCCATTTCTATATTTATAAACATCAATTTAAGGTGTTTTATTGAAGTTTTAATGTGAAAAGTGCACTATATGGTGCATGATAGGTGTTCCTGTTTGAATCTCAATTCTGACTTCACTGACACCAGGGCAGCAAGGGTTAGTGTTAGAATCAGAAGGGGCCGAGTTGTGTGATTTTAGCCATTAATGCCCAAGAGACTAAAACTTATGCGAAGCTCTGATATCCACTGTTTCTGTCTGTGGAGTAATTATTTCATTGCCATGAATTATCTGTTTGTCAAATCCTACAGTTTTATATGTTGTTCGGTTCCCTTCTGTTCAAACAATGACGTGTCTAATTTCATTTTTCCTGCATCCTCCATGTTTTCCTCTCTTCAGGATCAAGTGAAGCTGTACTTAGACACAATATTTCTTTTTTTTTTTAATTTTTTTTATTTTTATTTTTTCCATTTATTTTTATTAGTTGGAGGCTAATTACTTTACATCATTACAGTAGTTTTGTTATACATTGAAATGAATTAGCCATGGATTTACATGTATTCCCCATCCCGATCCCCCCTCCCACCTCCCTCTCCACCCGATCCCTCTGGGTCTTCCCAGTGCACCAGGCCCGAGCACTTGTCTCA